TGCTATTGCTATTGCTATTGCTATCGCTACTGCTATTGCTGTTGCTACTAATACTACTACTAGCTAGCTTTTTCGAGGCCGCAAGTACTGTATCCAATAGAAGGGCATTAGTTATTTAGGCTTGTTTGTTGTTCAGGAAATATTGTATTAGCAACGCCGCCTGTATTTTCTTGTATTGATCCGCTGCTCTGCAGGTTTAACTGGCTAGAACGCTACAGGGCAGTCAGGGCACGCAAGCCTTGTGTTGTGTCTGGCAAAGTACTCGAAAACGGAACCTAAACCCTAAACCCTAAACGCTGAACCCTAAGCCCTTCACGCCAAGCCCTCGACCCGAACATTCTTCAAGGCTGTAGTACACCAAACAATGAGCTCTGAACTCGAGTTGAAACGTAAGAACCCTGAGCCTTGCACCCTAAACCTAAGCGGCATCAAGTTGGAAACATATATCCTAAATCCTGAACACCACCCTGTTTGAAAAAGGCAATGCCCTAAATGCTCAACCGTAAGCCGAAATACAGCATTTTCAGCCCCATAATAATAACAGAACAAAAGTAACAATACCAATGACAGTACCAACTACAACAAGAATACCATGCGTAGTATGGGTAATGAATGATAGAAATAAGAGTAACGATGGTAATAGTAGTAGTAGTCGTCGGTAGTACTGATAGTACTGATCGTACTGATGGTGATAGTGATAGTAATGGTTCTGGTGAAAGTGATAGTGATAGCAATAGTATTACCGAAAGTAGTAATAAGAGCCAGGGCACCCAATGGCTCCCTCTGTTCTTGAGGTATAGTAAGTCGGACAGGTTCTTGGGGAATATTCTAACATACATACTTATACAGGGAAGATAAGGGCACAGCATTGATGGCAGGGTTTAGGGTTCAGGGTTCAGGGTTGTAACAGTAGATAACCTAAAGTCCACACCGAACCTTTGCCCGACAGCGAAGGTGGAGATCTGCTTCTTCCTGCACAAAGCCTTGGGTCTGCCCCAGGCGGAAGCTTCATGGACTCCGAATAGTATCCCTGGTCAGTAAGCTTTACGTGTGGCGTTACACAGCGCTCTTGAAGTATGTCTCCTAGAACCCATCGCTGCCGAAACACTAGGCAGGCGGAATTTCCCTGAAACCTGAACCGCATGCTCAGCCTAGAAAGGGAGCCGTAGACCCCTGTACTCTAGAGTCCCACACCTACAACCCGAAACCCTGAACCCCGTAAGCCCCAAAAATTCTAAAACCCTAAAGCCCTAAACCGCCCTGTGCTCTCTGCCAGGCCGACTTCATGGGAACCGCGGACCCCTATGCGGAGATTCGGCTCATGCCCTGCGACCCACTGGCGCCGGGAGTCCTGTCCAAGAAGGAGGCATCTTGGCATCTAGGAATAGGGTTTGAGATTCAGGATTTAGGATGTAAAATTTGGGGTTTAGAAAGTATATAAATTAAAGCAAAAGGTTTAGGGTTTAGGGTTCAGGTTTTGGGTTTTGGCGTCTCGGATGATTTCCACGGCTATGGCCGGGTATGGTCTTGGCGAGTCATGTCCTTGCTACCGGGGTTTCTGAATGCATGCTTATACTACTCCTTCACCTTCTTTTAATCTCTGCTCCAAGTGTATTTGATTATTCTCATTGTTATGTAAAACTGCTATTGTGGTCATGTTGTCTTTACTTCAGATTATCTTGCCTCATGTTCTGGTTAGCAGCACCACCACATTGTACCACACATAGGAAGTGTTGTCGTGTGAGGGCGGCATCTCAATTTCCTATAATTTCCTGCCCTCGGGTTCAGGTGAAAAGCGCCTCCGGCAAGACCTTCGACCGAACCTTGTGGAAGACCACTTCCAGAATTGTCCGGGGGTCTCTGACCCCTCAGTGGGACGAAGCGTACTACTTCTCTCTAAAGGCGAGAGCTGACGTAAGTGAGCTCTTCATCTACATCCGTGTTCTGGATTATGACGTTGTGGTCAGTGACGACTTTTTGGGGCACTGCTCCTTCCGGCTTCTGGATGCGCTCTCACCACAGAACGACGTCAGTGCCGGCTGGCGGGCCTTGTTACAGAGCAGCCGCAGTGCACTGGAGCGCCTCGCCGTGCTCCGAGACCCGCACCTGACCGAGGCCTCCGGGAAGCCACAGCCATTCAAGCTGGTGGCACCTTTGGGCCAAGAGAAGACCTACGACCTCAGCGCCGCCCAGATCTTCCTGCAGCTGTCCATCATGGCTCGGAGCTCACGGCCACTGCGGCAGTTTGTTAAGCATCTGCTTTCCGACTCTGTCTATTCATGTTACGAAGCATCCGCTTCCCCCACCGAAATCCCCAAAAATCCCTCGTAACTCGGCCCTGCTTCCCAAGGCCCCTCTTCGGCCACCAGGCCTCCGCCGGGTCCCGGCCACCGGGACCCGGGGAGGATGCACGGGCTTCGCAGTTCCTGGCGGAGGCGGTGGCCAACGGCGACCTCTGGGAGGAAGCGGAGGGTTTTTGGGGTTTTTGCATCGGCTTGGGGGGGTTTTGGAGCCCCTGTTATAGGGTTTTATAGGGTTTAATTATGGATAGGGCTTATAGAGTTAGTATGGAGTTTGGGCTTCGGAGGAGTGCGGAAGTTGAGGCTTGAACGTGGCCTGTAAGGCATGCTTTTGTGGTTTAGAGTTGAGGCTGTCAGACCCTGAAGCCTGAAGCCTTTGTGGATAAGCCCTCGGAGGCTGGAACACCCGTAAACCCCCGAGCACCCAAAAGGAGCCTTTGGAAGATCCAAAAACCCAGCTTTCTGCTTCAAGACGTCGGGAGCAGCCCCTGCAAACCTAATGCAAGGCCAAACTGAAAGGCCGCTGTTTCGAGATTTGGGTTTGAGGCTTTAGGCTTTAGGGTTTGGGGTTTGAGGCTTTTTAGGGCCTTATAGGTTCAGGATCCAAGAACCTTGAAAGCCATATGCGTTACATCAACGATGTAGTCTTTGTCTGATAGCCCCAAACCAGGCGCGACGCAACTTATCACCGAATCCCTCAATCAAAGCCCACCCGAAAGCTTACCTTTCAATCCTTAACCCCAATCCCTTTTTCCTGAAGCTCTCAAGCCTTAGGAGCAGAACTGCCGCGTAGCATGCGCCACCTCCGGTCCTGCTTACGGCCCGACAGGACGCTCTCGAACACAACCGCGGAGACTTTCAGAGCTACTCCCCAATACTAAACCCTGAAACCTCAACCCAAAACCCNNNNGCGAGTGCCCTCCTCGAGACGGGCCGTGCCTCCGTGAACTGTCGAGCTATCGAGGCAGGCTTAACTGGATCTGATGACACTGAATGATGACGTTGATGATGTTGGTGTAATGGCGATGGTGATGTTGATGATGGTGATGAAGGCCGTGATGATAGCAGTGATCGTGCGAATGGTGGTGATAGTGGTCAGCAGGAACATGATAATTAAACACAGTTGTCATTGCGAGTACCCGTAAGCATAGCTGTTGCTCATGGTTATTCTTTGCGTATCTAGATTGACGTGTCGCTGCTGCTGCTGCTACTACTA